CCTCCCGCGCCCCGGCCCCGCCTCCCGCGCCCCGGCCCCGCCTCCCGTGCCCTGCCCCGCCTCCTGCGCCCTGCCCCTTCTCCTCCTTCTCCCTCATCTAAGGTCTTTGGGGTCTCTCTTGTTTTTATTTACTAGAGCTCCCGAAAATTATACAAAAGAACTAGTGACCTAAATGGCAGAAACGTATTTTCTCCCATTTCTAAGGCTGGAAAATCCACGATAGCGGTGTTGGTTGTGTGGTTTCCCCTGAGGCCTCTGTCCTTGGCTTGCAGGGGCTGCCCCCTTGCTGTGTCCTCACGTGATGTTTCCTCTGCACTCTCACCGCTGGCGTCTCTTCTGTGTGTGCAAAATTTTTCTTTGAGGAGGCCAGTCATATTGGATAAGAATCCACCCTGATTTCTTCATTTTCACTTAATCACCTCTTTAAAAACCCTATGTGCAATTTCAGTCACACACTGTGCGTTAGAGCTTCAATGCATGGATTTTGGGGGACACAATTCATCCAATAACCCCCCACCCTATGGACTCCAAAAAACTCATGTCTCTCTCACTTTGTAAAAACATTTACCTCATCCTAGCAGCCTGAATTCTAAACTAACTCAGCACCAACTCTAAGACCCAACTCTTATTTCTATATAATTCAAATCAAGTGTGAGTGATTCTCCAGGGTGATTCGTCCTGAGGGGTTAAAGGAAAACAGCCTTGTGGGGGGGCTTCATCTCTAGTCTCTTGCTCTCATCTGGGTGTCCGGAAAAGTAAACTCCTACTTTATTAAAATGGAAATAAAGCAGTGAGTCAACATCAGCAACATTTTTGAGTTAGATGTGAAAAATTCACATTCTTAAAATAGAGAATATAATAATTTAAATGCCAAAAAAATCAAATTTTATAATCAGTAGCCATGGGCTATTTCTGACAGCACTATTTCATAGTGCTATTTGGGAAAGCACCATAATTGATAAGAAAATATAACCAAAATACACAGAAGTTAAATTGTTTTTAGGGCAGCATATGTCTGAGTTGACTAAGATAAATCATACACAGAAATAATATAGCCCAAAGAAAATTAATCTCTTGTAAGCATATTAACTTACTAAATCCAATTTCAGCATTGAGCATCAACATTTTGGGGTACAAATAAGGAAACCTCTCAATGGTTATATAAAAGAGTAATTGTTTCCTACTTCATGCTTCAGTTTACTTGCGGCTTAATGGTGCTTTGACAGTGGAAGAGAAGGATGTTCCAGAAGATGTTTCTTTCATCTAGAAAGAGAAATTATTCCTTTACACAAAATGATAATTTGCAGGATAACGTATTTCCACTCTCACATCCTGTTCTTCTCATGGCAACTTAGTTGGGGGACTTACAGTTTAAAATCTCGAAGTCTCTTCTTTACCCCATTGTTACATTCTGAGTTTTACAATCTGTGTGTTTTATAAAAAACTGCAATACATTTAAAACTTGAACTTCATTTATTCATTTGCTTATGATGCTCAGAACACCAACGACCTTGTGCATTTTTGGTTTCAGCTACAAGGCTGATGTCAAGACCTTTTATCGCAGCCCTCACTGGATCACTCCCAACCTGACGCAAGCTTCCTTGCCCATTTGCTGCTCCCTCTCCCTCTAATTTTCCACCTGGGAGGAGTCTCTATTCCTGATATATGAAAGCTCTCACAAAACTGAAAGCAAAGGGATGAAGATGAAAGTCATGAGATTGTGACACACGGCTGTCTTGAGCAGACACAAGATCCAATCAAATAGATGGGACAAGTATGTTCTTATCCAAAGAAAAACCTCAGGCCACTACAGGAGGTGAAGTACAGTGACCTCACAAGGAGACCTCCACCCAGAACACACGCTGGTGCAATTTTCAAACTTCAAATGACCCTGCAAACCAAGAACCATTAAGCCACATCCAGTGGGACACGCCTGGACTGACACCTTTTAAAAAATGGCCTCATAACTGATACCGGTTTTTATATTTTTTAATGATTATATTGCACATGGTGCTATCGGTACCTACATGTTATCCCCAAAGTTGACTTATGTGTGGCAAAGACTATAATACTTCTCAGCCAGTCATTTAAGAAAAAAGTTTACCAAATCCTAAAAAGTAATGAGTGCTGAAATATTTGAGCAAATGATCAATCTCAAGCAAAATAGGAGAAATCAAAAATCAAAGTGTAACAAGATAACTTTTTATATCTGATAGACTGGCAAAAATCTGTACTTCCACCAAAGAGTTCCAAACAAGATCAGGGCTGTCATTCTTATATTATTGTAGAACCCCTCTGGAGGGGAATGAGAAAACAATGGGTAAAAGTTACAAATGCACATCCTCTTGATCCAGCAATTCCACTTCTGGAAATTTATCCTATGGTCATACACACACATGAACTCAAAGGAGTCTGCATAGGGAGGCTCGCTGCAGTGTTGTTTGTAAGATCAAACTCATGGTGATAACCATTACAGGCTGCATGGCTAAAACTCTACCGTGGAAAACTCTGCAGCCTTAGAATGAATGGGGCAGTGCTATACGCCTAGGATGTCACGGGAAAGAATAAGAAATGGTGCATGTATGGGATGGTCTTTGACAAGGGGACCAGGACAGGGGCCTTACACTCCACTCTCTCCTTTTCCTCTGTGCTTTTGCTCATCAACCAAATAAGTTAGGGACAGTAGAAGCCCCCTCAGGCTGGGCCTGGCCACCTGCTGTGGCCTCTGAATGCAGCCTGGCCTGACAGTTTTGCTACAACATCATGATCAACCCACAGCCAGAACCACAAATCTAAACTGCTCTCAAGTTCCAGATGCACTGAAGTGACAAGATCACAAACGTGTTCTCCTAACATGCTGTTAGGGAGCAAATTTATGCAGCAATAGACGATAAACACAATTTGGTTTTAGGAATAAATTTTCTTGTGGGTATTTCAGGTACAAAACATGTTGCTATGGGATACACATATAGTAAAATGCTGACTTTGTTGTTGTTTTTTCTTTTTTTTGAGACAGAGTTTTGCTCTTGTTGCCCGGCTGGAGTGCAATGGCACGATCTCGGCTCACCGCAACCTCCTCCTCCTGGGTTTAAGTGATTCTCCTGCCTCAGCCTCCCCAGTAGCTTGGATTACAGTCATGCGCCACCACGCCCAGCAAATTTTGTATTTTTAGTAGAGATGGGGTTTCGCCATGTTGGTCAGACTGGCCTCGAATTCCCGACCTCTGGTGATCCGCCCACCTCGGCTTCCCAAAGTGCTGGGATTATAGGCGTGAGCCGCCGCGCCTGGCCAACCTACTTTGCTTTTAATGACATCCATTGAATCTAAGTTTATGAAACCTAAACTATATATAATAATGGCTATGTTTACCAATTGACTCATAAAATTTAAATATTGGATACAACTAATATCTGAATAATTATAAATTCTCAGCTATAGTAGATTAATAAAGATTTCAGCTACGAAAGTATTGACACCCATGGAAATTACAGATGCTGGATGTCAATAAGGAGGAAGGAATTGACTCAGGTTAACTCTTCCCTGTAGGGCCATTTGGAAACTCCCATCCTATGGGGAGACCATCCAATTTTGGGGAGTTTCCAGGACAGGGCCTCAGTGATGTGAGAGAGGGGGATTTGAGGGAGCACTGAGCCTGTCACTCAAAATCTCCCCAGCTCAGCAACTAATGTATTGAGGCAAAGAGGAGGTGCATAAATAAGAAACACACGGCCAGGTGCAGTGGCTCATGTGTGTAATCCCACCACTTTGGGAGGCAGAGGCAGGTGAATACTCTGAGGTCAGGAGTTAAAGACCAGACTAGCCAATGTGGCAAAACCTCGTCTCTACTAAATATACAAAAATTAGCCAGGCATGGTGGTGGGCACCTGTAATCCTGGCCACTCAGGAGGCCGAGGCAGGGAGAATTGCTTGAAGTCAGGAGGCTGAGGTTGCGATGAGCTGAGATCGTGTCACTGCACTCCGGCCTGGCAACAAAGCAAGACTCTGTTTCATAAAAAATAAATAGAAAAATAAGAAAAGCAACAGCTCTCTCTTGTTCTTAATCTCTCAAAAACATGTTCAGATCTCACAGTGGTCGCTGCTTCAGGACAGAAGTGCAGAAGAATGGCCCAGCCAGGAGCGCCACCTTCACCACAGCGTGGTGGACACACAGTGGAGTAAGATGTGATTTCTTGAAACTCCCTGCAATGACTTCTGTGAAGAGGGGTCTGCACAGTGTCGGAGATGGGGATGCACTTAGGCTGAGGACATCCCTAAAAACAGCAGCGACGGCACCTGTCAGGCAGCTTCTTCTCAGGCAGTGCCTGCATTTGAAGAGCTAGGAATTGTTGCACGTGCAAGGAC